CGCGTGTTTTGAGGACGCTGAATGTGGTTGTTTGGTCTCAGTCAGGGGCTTTGTCACTCTTTCTCAGGTCAAGGTCAAAATCATATGTGCACGTGTGTTATTCTGGTGATAGTGTTGGGATTGGTGGTTCGAGCTCCGTAGTGTTCACAGTGGGCGGTCGTGCTCGCTTGCGTTACGTAATGGTTTCACGTGCAAGCCAGATGCGGGAATTGCGCTCCGGGAGAGGGGGGGGGGCAATTCGGAATATCCATAGTAAGACTGGCTGACTGATTGTTGAACTATGAGGTCACGCAATGCCGACCGTGGCCTGAGGTTAACACAAATTAGATGGCATCCGGTAGGTGTATATTCAAGTTCTTTACCCTTCTCTACATTGGCATCACATCTAAAGAACCGCGGAACCCGTCGGTCTTATAGCGGTATGAACAGTCGTAACAACATTGACCACATGCCTATCATTTTACATCCGTCCATTCTACTCTATTCTCGTTCATCTTTCAGGTTACCTTATGGAAAGAGACTCTCGAGGGTGGATGGATAGCACTGAGCGAAGTCAATCGGTCTCACGATCCAACCAGTGTCGTGGGTGCGGACGAGCATAGTCAGGCGTCAAATTTATCCATGGCTGCAGTGCCCTCGGGTTGAGTCTGGCCTCCGGATTATCATAACAACGAAACGAAATTGATCCCTTCGCATCGCGGTTGACGGATCCGATTGATTTCTCGCTTTTCTGGCTACCTACCTGCTAGATCTGCATTACGTAACTGGTTCTGCGTGTGCTTGTCTGTTTGTTTCTGTGAATAAAAGTATGCTGTTTCTTTTCTGATTTCCAACCGGTTTAAAAAGAAATGTTGCTTCGTGTTGGTCACATTCTTCATTCTCAGGAGTGCACATGTCGGGGGGTTCAAGCAATACGTGGCAGTACGTTGCATTGCCATTCGGTCATGCCTCGTGTTTAACCCAAAACAAGTCGACTACTCTAGCGACCACTCGTCATTTCACATCCTAGTGAATTGTGATATGTACAATAAGTACAGTTAGTCGCACACACGGAGCCTAACGTCATGTCAGTACCATAAGTATCTTTAAAAGTAGTATATTTTAGTTTGCTATCGACCCCGTTGTCCATAGAATCTGAAGAGATTTGGTGTTGGCGGTGACACCCGTGTTCGCTTAGCTCCATTGTATATTTGGATGAGGATGGTATACATCATCTAGAAATGCACTGATTGATGCGTTCTAATACCGGGCTTCGTTAAACGTATACTCAGGAGCTTGCCTCAGTTGTATGGGCGCTCCCAGCTGAATTCGAATAGGTCTCATTGGACTTGAACATCAATCTTGATGGTGGCCCTATTCTCGGGAAGCTGTAGACAGGGTGCTGTGATTCTGTTCAATAAAAAGGTTATGGGAATAAAAGCTAGATAGTTCGATTCTATTTGCGCATTGCACGAGGGGCACGACCATATACGGAGTCTGTAAACATTTCCTATTTTCCCATAACAAATAAGTTTTTAACCGCATGGACAGTCCCGATTCAGCATTCTAAGAAAATCGCCCTCCAATAAAGTTTTCTGGTTGACAGCGATTGCAGAAGCAGTGAAACAGAAAACAGCTTAAATCGCCTAGGACTTCATTTATCACTGCTCTTTTATAGGAAAAGGGAAGGTACGAAAATGCATTTATGATAATTGATTTACTGAAACTTTACCAACCGACTATGAATTCGGACTAATAACCCAGATTTGTGTCATATTTAATCTGATTGGTTGTCCCAAAACAAAGCAGTTTTCAGAGGGTACACCGACAACTCGGAGCGTCTGTGCGGTGTGTCTGCTGCCGGGGATTCGTTTGGGACGGCCTTGATGGCTTCTGTTTTCTCATTGACCATCTTTTCGGTGTAGAGGCCTCTTCATGCACTTTCAGCGAGGTCGGTGAGCGATGCTCTCGCGACGGGTCGGTGTCTATCAGGAGATTAAGTTCTTAACAAAAACAAATGAAACAAATATGCAATGCTTCACAGGCTTCAGTGATGCACTGAATTCGTATGACTAAATCGTGTATCACGACAAACCAAATCTCGCAATTCGATTCACAGTAGTGTGGCCAGAATCGACGTTCTTAGGAATTTTTTGACTCATTTGATTGCAAATCGACGTGTCGAAGAAATGCATGTCTACAAGCATAGGCTTCAATCTGAAAAAATGCATTTTCTACAGTTAGGTAATAACCTATGTCTCGGGTTGATACGGCGTTTGAATTCAGCTCTGTTTATTTATCGATATCTCAGTTGTCAGCTCCATGTTTCGAGCCTTTAACGGGTTGTCTCCCGCGTCTCTGAAGTGCAAGTTCACATCGCGACTTTTGTGGATCCAAAACTCTGTTGGGTCAATAGTTTCGAGAGCCATTGGTGTTTTTGTTTTGTCATTGCAAAACTCTTGTTTGTGTTGTCCATTTACTCGAACAGCAAGTCATTCCTCATAATTGGAGTGGAATCTGATCCCACGGGACTAGTTAAGTTGGTTCTTGTTCAGAGTTTCGGGAGTGGCAATGGAAATCATTCAATTAGGCTTTCTTTTAAGAGATAATCATCAACCTCAGAGGGGAGTCCAAATCTATGGATCCAATCGATAGTTCAGTTGTAAACCGGACGGAGGAACCGCAGTTAATCTAAGGTTTAGTCACTTGTTCAGAATGTACCACAGTGGTACCGAAGCGAAAACCGAAATGCTTTATCACTTCATCCTTGTTTAGTCTTCATTTTGGCGGTTCCTGGTCACTGCCATTTTGTCACCGACCAAACTCTATTGTTATTTGACTTGGAAAAACAATCACAGTTTCTTCGTATAGTGCGTGAGAAAAGACTTCAAACACTTTCGATAAATCGAGATCTCAAAACAGCTACTTAAATGCTTATGTTAGTAAGCACTTTGGCGTAACATTTTCCCAGGTTTCAAATGTGTCGGTTAACTGCAAATGGCTTATCACTACCACTGCCTAATTTCTAAATGTAGTAATCACAAAGTAGCAAGTGTGTTTGTTTTTGGTGCATGGTCAACCTGGTGTCACTGTGTTTTATCCGATAGAATTGGCACCAATGGCCAGATTCAATCAGTATTAAGTGGAATGTGTTGACCGCATTTTTTAAACAAGAAATTCAAAATTTATACCTGTGAAACACTGATCTCATTTATTCTGGAATCTAACAAAATGGTTCATGGACGAGAGGTTTTGGTGCTGATATTATATGGGAGGCGTTGGTTGTTAAGTGTGAAGCATGTTGCTACTACCTGCGTTTCCTGACGCACTTAAACGAGCCCGTTCAAGTGCATCTAGTGGCTTTAATTTGCGTCGTGACATTTCTTTACGTTAAGAAAAACGTGTAGGCTAGTCCTGTTAAATAAGTGAAAATTGTAACGATGAAATGTGAACACCACGCCTTTTAACTCAATTAATGGAAGCAATTAAACTAGTCGACGCGAGTAAGCCCATATGATAACCAGCTCCGTATTGAGTGTAGCGAAAGGTGCAACAAACCCGTTAATATTTAGCGACGTTTGTTCGTTTCACCACGACACGATTTGTCTCTCACCCACATTTATCATGCTGATGACATCCTTCAGCTCAGGTTTTAGCTGGCTGGTACGTTCGCAACTACGGTTGAGGGTTTCGGTACTCCGGGTCTATGATACTTTCCGAGTGTATGTTTATTAGAATTAGCTATGGATTGGGCAACAAGATGAACTCTGACCAATGGATTTTCTCATATAGTAGGCCACGTTAGGTTTCCTGGATCGGGACCCGAGGATCTTCGTAACAGAGACGCTCAGTGATATGGCTAAGTGTTGCAAACAGT